ATATGACTTAATTATTGTACTTTGCACCGTTTATCGTGGCCTTTTTATTAAAAAAAATTGCCAGTCCTTTTTTTTTTTGGGAATAACATGACCAAGGTTAAAATCATAGAAGAGGAAATACAAAATTAGTTAAGGTCGAAAAGCAAAAATTCCCTGCTCTCTAAAAGAGAATAATTTAAGATAGCAGTATCCCGACTATTAAGGACTGTTTGGTAAGCAAGTCCGTCTGCATAATTGTTTGCTTTTTCTAAAGGTGTTGGTCAATCAAGAGTGACAGTCCAATCCTTCATGATAATTAAGGTCTCTAAAGATGTTTGCTTTTCCATAACATTATATTCTTTCCGGCACACATGGATACATTATAGACACTGAAGATAGGAAAATGTGATATGGTACATCATATATAGCAAAATTTTCATAATCTGGCATTAAGTTCATATATATAATTAGATATATTTGGTGCGTGCGGCGTATAATTAAAGTTATTCTTTTGTAAGGACATTCCACTTTGTAGCAGTGGAGGATCATTCCTCCATTCCACTGAAGTGTAATATGTGTTGCCAAATTCTTTAATAAGATATTCTTTATGAAAAAAAAAAATAATGATTAAATAAAATAAAAAGAATCTTTTGAAACAAATTCATGGAAATGATATTTTTCTCCTCACTTTTACCACTCATCACATTTCATCCTCATTTGGTATATGTACATTATGGAAGATATCCAAAATACATGTAGTTAAATTTGAATTTCTCAAAATTTAACTATACCTATATTGATGCAGAAAATATATCATACTTTCTTTTACAAGATTTTACATGTTGATTAACAAATAAAACAACCCAAAAGGTTGAAGTAATAGTAACTACAATGTTGGTTTAACAGCCATTATGTTCAACTATTTGTGCCACTAACGTTTTGTGGAAATTTTGTCCTTTATTTTTTTTTTTTTCAACGAGGCCACTATATCTGCTATATTAAGACGTTGCCACAGGTAAATCATTGCAACAATTCAAGGAAACTCAAAAATTGATGATATATGTGGTAATATCTATCAATATTTTGATTGTCCCCATGGAGCAAATTAGCATCTAGAATATTGGTGATTGAATGTGGTGATGAGTTGCTAACCCAATCTTTCAAACTTAGAGCTTGTTGAGAAAACATATCATCAGTTGGCTTCTTCCTTGTAAACATTTCCATGAACAAAATAGCATAACTATAAACATCTCCCCTTTCAAGGAAACTACTCTTGATCCATACTCTACTAGGTCAAGTTGAATGGTTATTAGTATGTAGCACATTATGTAAATATATTAAATATATTGCTAAATGTTTCTTTTTATCATTACTCTTCATATGTGATAATGGCAGATATTTGTTAGTAGTCAAATCATATAAATGTTTACAAGGAAACAAACAAAATTAAATTAAATAAAACCAAGATATCAATATTAAATCATTAGCTGGAGCCATATAGCCGATTGTAGCAAAAGTTTTGATATAAATTTTCAACTGTCTTTGACCAAAAAGCTTGGTAATAACAAAAATCAC